TATTATGTATGACGAAAGATGTCATGTATCGACTCCGTTGATCGACCGTGGAGCGGAAATGGCCCCATTCCACTTCTTCCTTGGACGTTGTTGAGCCTTGACGGGCTCTGAATAGATGATTGGCAAGGTGGAAGCATCTGTATGGATTAGGGATTCGACCGATCTCGTGGGCAAGAAAGACGTTTCTTCTCGGAGCGGTTCAAAGATGGCTCCCACGATATTTGGCGGCACGGCCAGGATGACACGGTCGAATTTTCTCTGGCAGCTGGACATGGGCGGTATCTTTTCACCGGCGAGCTCGGAGGCAGAGGATGTTGATTCCCAGCATACCATGACCGAAGAGCCGGTTGGACGGACGGAGGTGACTCGGGCTCCAAGACGGATGTTCAGGCCCTTCGAGAGGGTATCTTCGACTATCTGCGTTCCTTCACGGACGAGGTAGTGCGGTGCTCTATATGTGCGCCGAACGTACTGTACTATGTCATGGGCCGGAAAGCTGAGCATTTCAGCATGATTGCATGTTGACAAAGTAGCGAACGGAGGCAGGATATACCGATACACAAAGTGCCGTGGGAGACGGACACGGTTGAAGTATTCCTCCAAGGTCTCGAGTTGATCATCCTTGCGGGCATCTATCCAGAAACAGGCGAGACAAAACCAACCGAAGAAGAAAGCAACATAGATGAGCTCCCAGAGCCACGAGAGGAAGCCCTGCCCACCAGGACGAAGAGGAGGGAGACGGTGGTTGTTTGAAGAATAGAGGAATGTTACTTTGGGCTGAGCGAGTTCCTCCTGGGCCTGGTCCGATTGGGTCTCCGGACTCGGGATTGCCTTGGGTATGAAGGAGTAGCTGAAGAGGAACTTGAGAGGATCACACTTGATGCCGAGATGCTTATACATGAGCGTCATATACTTATAATAGCCATCGTCAAAGACCCGCATTGGATGGCTGATATGGAAGGTCTCCTGGCCATTCGCTGATTTGATGGTTTCCCCCTCGGCATTGAGAGACAAGGCGTCTTGCTAGATATTGGGCGCGCAGTTAGCTTTCGGTTCCTGTGTCGCCTTGAGAAAGAAGAAAGGGAAGAAAGAGGTGCATGCGAAACAACTCATCGCACACGAGAAGCAGTGTGACAACACCAGCCCGGAAGACGGAGCTCAACATATTTTTGAAAAAAGACGACAGCTTTGTCAATGATATATGTATCTCTCTTCCCCCATTGTCGAGCATGGTCCATCCCCTGCTATGGTTGCACAAGCTAC